GATGATACCAGAGAACTCCTCTTTGGCCAAACAAATTCCCAGAGAAAACTTGGGTTTGTGGGCTTTGGTCATAAACTAGAGCCTTGCCCAATTCATACAAATAAAACCCAGAGAAAAAAATGGTTATGATTTCATTTCAAAGCTTTAAGATTAGAGCATCATATTCTGAAATGATGAATCCATGAGTTAGAAAAAAAATAGAACAAGCAGTTGCTATTGGCCACCAAGCCCTGCAGAATCACTGAAATGTAAAACAAAGACAATAGGGTGTGATTAAGTGGATCACTGAAAATTGATTTTTACATGCTCTGAAGTACCAAGATTAAGCCCTAGCAAAAGACCACCAATAACTCAACAAGTATTTATCATACAATACCATGTTCTCAGGGTGGTTTTCTTCTTCCAAATATTTTCATTTTTGTGAGCCATACCTTAACAACTTCATCATTATTATGCTGGAAAATGCATGACATTTCCCCAGGAAATTAAGATGTAATTATTAATTATTAATTAAAATATCATGAAATCATGGATAGCAGTATCTTACATAAAATGTTTTACCATCAATTGTGAAAAATGACTACCACTCACAGACTAAAAATTCATTGTTATATTTTAATCCACTTTAAAGGTTGTTTCTATCCATCCAAATATGGCCTTGATGGCAATTTTCTCCACATCATTCTTTCTCAATATTTCCAGATCTTTTGGAGGCTTTAGGGGAAAAGTGTGGGAAATAAAGACATTAATTAACAGTTGCTGCAAAGAATCGTGTACAAAACATGTCTATACTGATGGAGGGAAATGTAAGTGCACCTCAGAGCTTAGGGGGATGCCAACATACTAAAACATTTAGTTTCAGCAAAGCCTGTGGTTCTCAAATGTCCACGTGCACCAGAGTCCCCAGAGGGCTTGTGAGACTGCCGGGCCCACCCTGTTTCTGATTGAGTGGGTCTGGTGGAGGTTAAGTATGTGCTGCTGCTGGTGGTTGAGGGGCCCCAACACCCCCCCTCTGAGCATCTCCCCTTCTCTTCCTCATGCCTTCTCACTTCTAGACGTTGCCAAGATTTGTTTTCCCTGGTCAACATCTTTGGGATCTGCCTCATTCTTCAATACTGTAGTTGAAGAGCTTTTATTCCAAAAACTCGGCAATTTTAGTAAGTGCTTATCATATCTATTTGCGGTGGCAGGAAAAGTTCTCCTTTTGGCAATAAGTTTATTTTGTCAGGCTTCTTAAGAACCTTACAATCCACACTCTTTGGTGAAACATTCATTCTCCTTGCTTCTTTTCGATGTTGCTGTTTCCAGGCATTTGACATTTGTCTGTTTGGGGATCTTAATGTAGTGTGAAAGCATCTCTGGGCCATCGAAGCAGAACGCACTGATCCCCTCACCTTCCTCTGTGCCATTTCCTGATGGGGTAGGAACCCATCCTGACTGCTTCCACCATCAGCAATTCTACTAGCTGGCACGACCAGAGCGGGAGATAAGGAAATACGGACAAGTAAGACAGCTCAAGCATTAACAAAGGAAGCAGCTGACACCAAGGGCAAGCTGCTTCTACCATCCCTCCCGCCACCCCGTAAATCATGACGGATCCTGTAAACTGTGCCCCCGACCAGACCGCATCCGCAGTCCCTAGAGTAAGCCATTCTGTTCTCACGCTGGCTCACAAAAGGTTCACCAGACTTAGGGAATACCGACTGCGGCTCCTAATGCTGAGACTTCTACAGAGCCTTGTCCCCAGGAAACAAAAGTGTATGGCCCGCACTACAGTAAGGAGGCCAAACTTAAGACCTGAAATGAATCAAACATCACCTGGAGCCCAAGCAGAGAGGCCACGGCATCAGCACTGACACTTGCCAGCCTAGCTCCTTGCTCTCGTTCAGTTTCAAGTGACAGAGGTCTGTGATGGCTCTGCTCCTCTGCGACTCCATAACTTCCAATGCTGTGGTCTAGACTGGGTCTCTGATGCCAAAAAGCAAAAAGATAGGCCACAGTCCTCTACGTGGGAATCGTGTAAGTGGTTTAATTACCTATTGTCAGTGTGGAACTTTACTCATTAGCAAAGGACGCCACCAGCACCAGAGAATAAGAAATTTTATTTCAGCTTTTGGTCATTTTGCTGCCAAAACAGCTTTGTTTGCAGCCTGTTTCACAGCCCAGCAAAACAAATTTTCAACTGCATTTGATTTCAAAAGAATTCAAGGTTAAATGTGCCTTATTTATCAAGCACACACCACTCAATAAAGACCACACTCTGCCTCTCCTAAATTTGGCACCATGTAAACAGCTAATTCTCTCTTCTGCACAGGTCTTACCAAAAAGCAACACAAGAGTTTTGATGCAAATGAACTTGTTCCCTTTAAAATGCTGTACCTGAAAAATAATCTCAAATTCCCTTGTAAGCAAAATTTTTTTAGGGATTTCTAGGAATGATGTTCATACAAGTGGATAATGTCTTGACTTTTGCTCCTTGTGGGAAACACAGAAGGTTAGGATTCAGACAGGCAGACTGTGTGGCCAGCTAGGATGAATCAGAAGTTGGAAATACATAAAAACTGTGGAACTCAGCTTCCTTACTACTTTTAGGCAGATAAAACTCATGTGAGCTCCATGATTATCCTCAAAGGAAGTCATGCTATCAGTTTTTTTAAGAGACTACAAAACCTGATTTTGAAATTGTATCTTTCGTTAAAAGGTAACAGACTTTACTCAGTGTATGATATCATACACTTTGCTACGTAAAAAAGAAATTTAAAATTTATGGTTCAAAAAACACTCAATTCTAAGGTTATTCCTCTGGAATTGACTCATATAGAAAACAAGCGAAGTTAAGTTGGTTAAGAATTCTGTCCGCACGCTCATGCAGCAGCTTAAAATGAGGAGCACAATTTACAACCCTGTGTTGCAAAGTATTCATAGCTGTTTCTTAGGCAATTAATTTTCTTCCCCACTTATTACAGGCATATTTGGCATTTTTGGATAATCCCCATTGAATGCATTCAAAGTAGAAAAGCATGCCCAAGAAAGATGATAAACATTCATGACATACTGATTCAAAATTATGGGTCTCAGAGTGACTCAGATATACCAAGGGAAAACAAAAGATTATAACCCAGGGCAGAGGAAGTCTGAAAGTCCGGGATTTTAGTCTTGGCTTGATCACGTGATTTTTTTGGCAAGTCGCTAAACTCTGTGACCATTCTTTTCTCTCTAAAATGGCAGTACAACCTAGAGATGTTAAAAATGTAAATAAAGTCATATATAGAAGTTATTTGTAATCACAGGTAGATAGGAGAACTGCCAGGCAAAAGATTCTATCTGCACTGTGGAGATCTGAATAGGACATGATCACAGGACCCATCTCTGCAAGAGCCAGAGCCTAGTGCAAAGAAAATAAAATTGTGTCTGTGTATTTTTCTCTTAAATCCAACAAATTGTGTTAGAAATGTGTCTCAGGACACGATGGGGACTAGGTAAGAATGCACATACGACAATAATGCACATACGATAATAAAACCCCCCTTCATTGCTAAAACAATATAGTAGTGCCATTTCATATTCAATAGGCACTTTATTTTCTGTACTGCCCTGGATGCAGCCCCAAGGGGTGACAGGAGAACTGGGGGTGGCTCCCCAGGGATGCTGGGCTGGCTTTAATGCTGCTCCTCACCTCCTAATCTCCCACCTGCCCCTCCCTCCACCAGACTCCTCGTTATGAACAACTGAAGGACGTGTTCTCCCTCTTACAGAAAGTGCCATTTAAATCAGCTTCAAGTCCCCCCTCCCAAATAGAGTCACACCCACCCATCAACAAGGAAATCCTAGAGTTAAGCACTGATACATAAGGACTATCATTTTTAAAGGGAACACAACAGAGCAGCCCACCCTCACGTTCTGTGCGAGGAAAAGACGCAGCTGCACTTCAGGGAAAGGAGGCTCTGTCCCACTCGGCACCCATTCAAGCACAGAAAATATCCAGGGGCAGGACGTTGCCCCTGGGTAACGTTGCCAGAGAAGTGGGCATTGAGAGAACAGTTTCTCTGTATTTCAGAGCGAATGTACTCAATTCATACAAAAAAGAACCCTTCCGTCAACCAGGCCCCCAAATGACACTCACGATAATACTTCAGAAAGGGCGGCTTTTCTCCAGCAGCTCAGGCAGCCACTAATTCCTCATTTTGACAAAGTAGCATCCAACTTCAGGCACGGCCGTATATATAACTCCACACGCAGCTGAGCCGTCATACACACACCAAGTATAAAGGCGTGTCAAAAAGACATTTTTCTCCCCAAAGTATGGCCCTGAGAAGCCATTATTATAATAGAGTGTGGATTTCTGCTGCAGGTTATTGACCTATAAGCTAACAATAAAAGTCCCATTTCGTACATAAAAGCTTACACTATGACATGAAGTATTAAGACACGATCCACGGACTATTTTAAGTTTGCAGAACAACTCAACCACTTCTTCATTACAGCATGAATGTACACATCCTCCTGTGGGAGAACACCAACTCTGGAGACGCGGCAAAGTACAGTCCAGCCGCCGAAGATCCCATGAGGCCGTCTAGGAAAATGGAAGAAGTTCCCACTGTCCGTGCTGCTGGAGTCTCCTCTGAGGCTCCCGAAGGAGAAAGTGGTGAATTTGGCTTATGGCACTCTCAGTGAATCAAGACCAGGCTCAAAGGCAAACTCTATCTCCTGTAAACACAATGTCACACACAGGTCTCAACTCAGTGTTTACATCTGTCCAGAACTGGCTGCAAATTTGGGACTTCCTCAAATGATATTAAAAGCTCTACATAAAAAGTATGCAAAAGCAGTTACTAGTTTTTCAGGAAAAGAGACATACCTGCTAAAAGCAACAGCTCTGCACACAGGGCTGTAGGAAGCTGCTGGGACTACAACAGCAATGTAACAAACACAACATAGGATGACCTTTTTTTTTTTTTTTTTTTAAAAAATTGCTGCTGCAATAATTTAATTAAAAAAAAAAAAAAACAAACAGAAAACCAAAAAACAGATTTCCACATGATTTCATAAGAGAAAGAGTCCACTGCTTGGTGTGAAAGAAGGGTCATCCTGGCGGTGGAAGGACTGGGAATGTCAATTACGATATGCGAGACTGATACCAAGTTTAGGATGCGTTTCACAGCATCCAGTGGGCTCCTGGTGGGCGGGATCCTGCTCTCTAGCTGTATCCGGAGCTCTTTTCTGGTGGCATTTTAAAAAACGTAGCTGGAGCGGAGTCAGTGGCTCTCTCTGCGGCAGAGGTCCTGACCAACCACTCGGGGTTTGGAGATTTCGGGACCTGTGATGCTGGCGTGCTTGGTTCCGCTACATCCACGTGAACTGGTAAGGTGGTTACAATGAAAGGAAGGAAGAAAAGATCAAGGGGAGACAAATTAGAATCAGAGACACTGCAATGCACAAATCTCGGAATGTTTTTATTTTTTAACCTATGAATCCAAGTGGCTACACAGGTTTTTTTTTTCCCTTTCCAAAAATACATACATACATACATAAATAAATAAAGGCAAATTTCAGAGAGAGAGTAAATATTTCTCTACCTGAGAAAACGGGCTGAACAGAACAAATAAATAAATTCAGTCATACAAATTCTTAAGACAGTCATGATCACTTATCGAGCACTCACGAGCCGTGCACTGTGCTATGTAAGTACTGTCCAACCAGAATCTGATTTCCTAATGCAAACCCTTCCAAGTAGGATTGTCATCTCCATTTTCTCGATCAAAAACTGAGGCAGAGAGACAGCAGATACACTGCTCGGGGACACAAAAGAGCTAGTTAAGTAGCAAGATTTAAACTCAGATACTGGACGTCAAGCCCTTAGGCTCCTTCTGTTACATCCCATGCCTCCAGTAACACAGCATTTCCAATAAATAGCGTTATCATAAGAAAATCACACAATCAGGCCCAGTGTTTTTCAACAAGGACACCAAAGACATTCTGGACATGATCATCACTGCTTGTGCAGGGCTGTGCTGTGTATTTTAGGACACTTACCATTCTGGACCCCACCCACTGAATGCCAAAAGGACTCCTCAGTCATTGTGATGACCAAACACTGTCCTCACATTTCCAAACGCCCCCTGAGCTGAGTGGTACAAACCACCATCACGCCCACTGCTTGAGAGTGAATGAATATACACTAAAATACAGCAAAATCTAGAAAATTTTCATTTTTACCTTGTCACTCAATTAATTTCACTCCTAGAAATGTAACTAGAACAGTAATTTTCAAGTTGTAGGCCATGACCAGTCCTTTTCTTCTTAATGGAAAGGAATAGGATAGGTCAGAGCGAACCCTTATTTCATATTTACACATACACTCACATACATATTCAAACAGGAATTTCTCACTGTGAGTTACTGCAAAAAACAATCCACAGGCTATTACTCTGTGGCACATATATGAGAGGCTCTTGAGGGCAACAGCTTTCAAACATTTTGGAACCTCAACCATGGCAGCAAGAAATACATTTGACACCACAGCCCAAATCTCTGTCTCTCCCTCTCACACAAACACACACACGTGGGCACGCACTCGCTCACTCACATTTGGCTGAAAATAAATTTCACAAAACTGTATTTACCGTTACTATATGGTATTCAACCGCAGTGGGGGAAACCCCTTATCCTAGGGAAACTGGGGTTTTTTGCTCTATATTTTTTTACTATATTTTTTTAACTATAATATTATTTTACTACAGTAAAATACACGTAACACAAAATTCACCAATTTAATCATTTTTACAGGTACAGTTCCGTGGCATTTACGTATATTCGCACTGCTGTACAAGCATCACCACTATCCACATCCAGAACTTCCTGACTGGCCCAAAGGGAAGACTGTACCTGTTAAACAGTAACTGCTACTCTCCTCCTTCCCCTTTCTGTCTGCACGTATTTGACCATTCGAGGTACCTCACACAACTGGGATCACACAGGATTTATCCTTCTGTGCCTGGCTCATTGCCTTTAGTATTATGTCTTCACCTGTGCTGTAGCATGTCAGAGTCTCCTTCCTTTCCAAGGCCAAATAATACTCCCCTGTATGTATAAACCACATTTTATTTATTGATTTATCCAGCAATGGACACATGGGTGGTTTCCACGTTTCAGTTCCTGTGAATAATGCTGCTATGAACATAGATGTACGAATTATTTGTTTGAATCCACGCTTTCAATCCCTTTGGGTAAATACTTAGAAGCAGAACTGCTGCAGCATATGGTAGTCCCGGGCTTACAACTGTGATGAGCCACGACCCTGGGCCCCACGGCGGCTGAACTATTTTACATTCCCACCGGCAACGCCCAAGGGTTCTGATTTCTCTCCATCTTTCCTAACATTTCTGTGTTTTCTGGTCCTTAACAGAGCCATCCTAAGGAGTGTGAAACAGCCCAGAAACACTTTCGCACACGTTCTCCCAGAGAACACTGCAGTATTTTTCACAGTGGCATAAAATGGGATATAATCCAAATGTCCATCAGGAATGTTTAATTATAGTGTACTCAGCACAGTCATACAATGGAACACAGTATGTATATGGCAGTAAAAAAAAAAAAAAAAGATTTTAGCAGGACAAATCATGAATGAATCTCAAAACATAACTCGGTAAAACTTATAACTTATAAAATAAGACATTCCATTTACACAAGCCTCCAAAGAATGCTAACTAGACAATATATTGCTTAGAGAGCTATAGCTTAAAGCTAAAAAAATAAAAAATAAATTAAAAAAAAAAGTTAAAGCTAGCTGAAAAAAATCCCCAAAGAATGAAAAATGATTAACAAAAAAGCCTATTCACATAACAAAAAAACCATATGAGGATAATGGTTACCTATGAGGACAGTGGGAAAATTGTAAAGGTGATGTTCATGTTCTTTTTTTTTTTTTTTTTAAAGATTTTATTTATTTGACAGAGAGAAATCACAAGTAGGCAGAGAGAGAAAAAGGAGGAAGCAGGCTCCCTAAGGAGCAGAGAGCCCGATGTGGGGCTCGATCCCAGGACCCTGAGATCATGACCTGAGCCGAAGGCAGAGGCTTTAACCCACTGAGCCACCCAGGCGCCCCAAGGTGATGTTCATGTTCTTGAAGTGGATGGTAGGTACAAAGATATTTGCTATTATTGTTTTTCTTGACACCTTATCTATTTTCCATAAATAGTCTTTTATAGCCCTTCAATATTTACTATAAAGCATTTTTAACTTTAAAAACCATTTGAACTTTAAAATAAAAATAAAAAGAGGCAATAATAATCTGTCCTATGACACCTGAGATAAGGGTGAACCTACAATGGAACTACTGAATCCAATCACAGGGTTTTAGAATAACTTTTAGAATAACTGTTTCAACTTTAAGATTCTATTCACTTATTCATATAAGAAACGCCAAGTGAGGTCCTTCTCCGTGCTGAGTATTATTTTAGATGCTCAGGTTTCAGAAGTGAGCAAAACAGATAAAAATTCCTGCTCTTGCAAATGCACCTCTAGCATCACTGGCCTGGTATTTGGAATCTGATGTAACTAGTTAACAGATTAACTGCGGAGTACCCTTCCAACAGATGCCCGAAGGACACATAACCTACCCCGGAGACAGGAAGGTCAGAAGAGGCTTTGGGGATGGCCAAAAGAGGGCTCTGAATACAATGTCTTATCCTCCCCCGATTCTCCTTTACCTAAACCCACATGTTTAATTTTTGAAAGAATGGGATTTGTACACCAAAGGCTCCATTCTTGTCATTCATCTCACGGACATGAAATCGGTTTTCATCTGAGTTCCTTGTGCTTCTTATAGCCACTTCATCTCATGTCTTAGAGAAAATAACCCATTTTTTTCTTTTCCAAGTACATTCTTTAAGAGCATAGAGGACCATCCCACTTCAGCGTGAGTTACAGACTTGCCCTGTTCTGGTGTTACTGAAACAGAAGCAGGTTTACACGGTTACTCGCTAAAATCCAAGGGTGGCTCTGTGTACCAGATACCTGTGTAGGTTATAAAGTCATAAAGGGAAGGGCGTGGAGATAAAAAGGAAAAAAAGATGCTGCCCTTTCAAGAAGGACCTACTTGACCACGCTAATGAAAAGCTCTGTTTCCCTGGCCTTTCCTGAGTGTTAATATAAAAAGACAAGGAAGACAAGCTACTCCTTTCTGCTCTTCACCTCTCCAGCCTTATTAGTACCTTTAAATTCAGTCAATCTCAACTCAAAACTTTCCACCAGTGGGGGAGGGGAAAAGGGAAAAGATTTGTGGCTGCATGTTTAAGAAAGAAGCTGAATTCATCACAGTGACAGGGGAGAGTGTTGGCAGAGATCTGAGCTATTTATTCTTTTAGGAAAATCCTATAAAGAATGACACAAGGAAGCCTCTATCTGCAGTCTTGTTCATCACACTGGTGAAGAGTCCGATAACAGATGTATGCAGTAGCGTGATTTAGTGCCAGGAGCTGGCCCCTGATGTGTATTAATACAGCGGCAAAGCGGAACGCACCTCTCTTCATCACTCATTTCTATAAAAGAGGTGGAATCCGAGATGGCCCGATGTTAGGCAGAGCAAGCCCATTTGTTCTACTGACTGATGGCGCGGGCTTGGGCTATGTCCTTCACCTCCACGGGGCACTCAGGTTGTGGATAGAAAAAAAAAGAAAATGTTAAGTGAAGCAGACCTTAGTCAACAAGTGAGAGGAGGAGTTGGGCTCAGGAGGAGAAATGTTTAATGCCCAAACCTTGTTTAATCCCTCCCAGTAACATTTCCTGATTTGGGTATGGAACAAGGTTTTTAAACTCTACTTACAGCTCTCGTCTTATGAACAACTAAAAGCTAAAAATAGAAGCTAGATATTGAGGGGGGGAAGAAAAGAACAAAAGACAGAAGAAGGGAGACTGTTGTAATGCTTCCAATACCGTAGACTGGATTTTGATGCAGTCAGTTCAGAACCAATGCTATCTTACACAACACAGAACACCTAAAGTGTGGAAGAGGGCGGCTCTCGAAGTCATAGGAAAACTGATTTGAACTTGGCTTGCAACTTATCATCCATGTGACTTTGGAGAAGTGATTTAACCTCTGCAAGCTTCAATTTTCTCTTGTGTAAATTAGGAATAAAAACAGCATCTACCCTTTAAGTTGTTGCAAAGATTAAGTGAAATAATACAGGCAAAGTAATCAGCTCAGGCCATGGCCATGTAGAAATCACTGGAAAAAATTCACTGTAAATATCAGGTGTATGATTAAGATTGTCCAGTAAGAACCATTACCAAGCAGCAACCCTAAAGAGAAGCTGAAAGAGGTCAATTTTAAAGTATGCTAACACCTACTGAGTTAAGGGAGAGAGAAAGAATTCCCTATCTCTCTGAGGTCTATTCTTCACTCATCAATCAACTGTTCTGATCTATATAATATATAGTATTTTCTAAAGAAAATACAATATCTATGATATATTCAATTTCCTCAGAGTGAATCCACTATCATCAAGAAAATAACTGGGTATTTCTGATAGGTCCTACAAAGAGATATGCTCTTTTTGGCCGGAGAAATTCCTCAACGGCACTGAAGTAACACAAAAATTTCCTCGTTACTGATTATGTTTAACTATCTTCTTCTAACTCCAAAGAAAAATACTGATAAACATCCAATATGCTTTCTGATATAATGACTACCCCCCATTTTTTAAGGATAATATATGTAAAGAGCATAAATCATAAACATACAGCTCAATGAATTTTTACATATGATATACCCATGTAATTCTTATGCAGTTGATGACATACAGCATTTCTCAGAAGACTTCTAATTACGTCCTCTCCTAGTCACTACCCCTCACCAAAGATAACAGCTATTTTGGTTTCCAAACAACTGGTTTTGGCCAGGAAACTAAAAGGTTTTAACTTGAAAAACAGTTTTTAATTAGAAAGTTCATGACTGGTAAAGTATTAGCCCTCTACTACACATAAAAACAGTGCGAATGTACTGTATCGTGTGCCAAGTAAAAAAGTAAATAAATCCATGTTTGGCTACTGACTATACCATCACCTTAACTGGATTTTCAGTAACACAGACCTAATTTCCTATCTGTGCTATAACAAAAGCACAAATGACTGCGAATTGTGGATTGTGGAACACCGGGATTCAGACTCAAAAAGCCACATGACACAGTGAAAAAACACAGACTTCAGGGTTAGAGAGAACTAGGTTGGGATTCTTAAAATGTGTGTGACCTTGGGCAAATTACTCAAAATGACCTACCTTATCATAAAGGTTAGATGAAAAAGTATATAAAACATAATTTAGTGCCTGACACACAGTAGGTGCTCAATAAATGAAAATTACATACAGTTACCTGCATTTGGGCTGGACAGAGATGCTGTGGCCACAGGTTTCCGTTTCCTCTTGATGTCACGTGAACATGGGGGTCCCAAATGTATGTTTGCCTGTCTACAGATGTGAGAAAAAAAAAAAGTTTTCACTTTGTAATTCTTATTGTAAGACATTATGTTCAGCCCAAATAAAATCCTTGACCCATTATAGACAGACACTAATAAGACAGGCACCATTCTTTGTCATCAAGTGTCAAGCACAAGATTATTCAGAATTAATCATAACTCATTCTTCATGCACAATATAGACCCATTCTAAACTTTTTACCTAATTTCAGAATAGCAGACACTCAAGATTAATTTCAATAAATGTGTTTCATTACATGCTGATTTTTGTACAATTATTTTTCATAAAAACTATAACTGCAATTGTTCTAAATTCACTAATGAAATACCTACTCCCAAGTGGTAATATATTGAAAAGTTTAATGCTGCATGAACACAGAAATTTGCATAGAATTTTAATAGGAATTTTAACCCTTCTGTTGCTACAATCTGGATTTTTAATAGTGTTTGTATCACAAGTTAAGTAAGTGTGATTTCTGTGATTTTTAAAAAAATTACTTGCTAATAATATATTCCCTCATCTGAATATTCAGCTTATATTAAAAACAAAACAGTGGGTATTCCAAAGCTGGAAAAAAGCAAAAGACTGAAAGACAATGAACCTCATACTGAAACAGCTGGTCACTACGTTAGTTGCCCACTTCCTCCTTCCTCAAACTAGACAGATCCTACCGCTGATTAAGGACCACGCTGATTATCACCTTTACACAAAGCTTTCCTTGGACATTCAAGGCCTTACTGACCATGAATCATTATTTAACAGGTAAACATATATCTTGTTTCCCTAATGAGGCTTAATCTCCTTGAGAACAGGGACCATGTTTATACTTCTTTGGTAATTTTCCAATGATCCACCAACCTCAGTACAAGGCACTCAGCTGACGGCCATTAAGTATCTGTTGACAAGAACTGATAGAGATGAGTAAAAGCTTTAAAAACCAAGTAGTCAACTGTACACTTAAAGTGGTTAAAATGGCAAATTCTGTATCCTGTATATTTTACCACAGTTTTTTAAAAAATAGCCAGAGTCTGTAACATATAAAAAGGAATCTAGTAAAATTATACCAGATGAACTCCAAATTGGTAGTCTTAGCTTGGGGAGTAAGTCTCATGACTAAATGATCGTAAAACTAGAACCTCAGTCAAATCTAAGGGCACCCAGCTAACAAAGCACCAAGACAACTACTGAATGGACAAATTTTCCTATTAAGAGGGCCCCCAATCTGGCAACTTCCATAGTTTAAAAGCATGCATGTATATAGTTCTTTTCTCTACATGCGAAAGCTTAAGAATCAATTCACTTCATAAATGAGAAAAGAATTTAACTGCAATCGTGATTTTTGGAATGCAAAGAGCACTACAATAGGCAGAGATTTACAGTATAAAGCCTGTGTTTTGGAAAATTCCATCCAAGTCACCGCGTATTGTCACCGCGTATTGATACGTCTCTCCTGTATATGGAAAAAGAGTTAACTTTTGAGTATCCCATGAATAGTTAATTCTGAACACCCAAAGTGAAATGTAAATTTAAATGTGTAAATTAGGGGAAAACAGTTCATTTTTCATAACTTAGCAATGTCCTGGGACTAAATCAACATGTTGATTTAATAGTAAGAAACACAGATGACAGAATATCAAAGGTAGACAGGCCTTCAGTCTCAATTGGAAAGAAGGTAATTCCTTTGAAGCCAAAAACACAGACAGAAAAGAGAGTGACCCTACAGAATTTTGGTTTCTGTGAAAACAAGAGAAATATACAGAAATGTACAGAATAGGGCTTCCATCTTTTCCACGAACAAGGTACTTGAGTACACACAGATTCAAACTCAAAAACTGGTCACTTTAATCCAATCATGCTGCTCCTGAAGCACTTCAGAGAGAAACAAGTCAAATAAAGGGTAACAGTATATATTCATGCTTCTTTCTTCTTTACCTTAAGAATGACTCCCCAAAACTTTTTAGCTTAAACGTTAACATCCTTTCTTCAAACTAAACTCTGTTAATAGACGTCGAGATAGTGGTTACCCTTGAGCTGGGGGACAGAGAGGAGGAGGGACAGTGACTAAACAAAAAGCACCAGGAGCTTTTGCGGTTCTTTCTGATCATGTTCTGTTTCTGGATCTGGATGAGGGTTACCTGAATGTGACTTCATTATCCTTCATTAAAAAGTTTAATTAAGGGGCACCTGGGTGACTCAGTCCATTAAGTGTCGGCCTTCAGCTCAGGTCATGATCCTGGGATTCCGGGATCCTGGGATCAAGCCCCAAATTGGGCTCCCTGCTCAGCGGGGAGTCTGCTTCTTCCTCTCCTTTCCCCCTCTTCCTTCCCGCCCACCACCCCCCAACGCTGTCTCCTTCTCTCTCAAATAAATAAAATCTTAAAAAAAAAAAAAGTTTAATTAAAAAAATGCAAAACATTCTTTTTTTCGTTTCCTCTATTTTCTTCATTGCTTCTTCAAGATCAATGTAAAACGCTGAATTTTATGAGACAGATGCAAAACGAAAAGTATAAGAAAAGTACTCAAAAGAGTTTTAAGATATTAACTCTCAGAGTATCCACTGCGAAATAAATACTGCCTTTTATTTACACACCATCCATCATTTTCACAGCTTTGCATGTTCGATAGATGTCAGTAAGACAATTAAGGGACCATATCATCCCTCCTTTATTGACCTAGTCAGTAACATTTATCTCACATTTTCAAGAAATGACACATTTGGGAATAAAAAGATGAAATCATTTATGTACGAAAATATTTACATTTTTAATCATTTTAAATGGAAATAGGGTGCTTTTTAAAATGCTTATTTGTTTTAGTAAAATGAAAGTAAGTATTACTTATACCTACCATGATGCATCTAGATTATTACACGGCCCTCACTACATCCGGCAGCATCCTTAGGGGGCTACTGTGGACACAAAGGCTCAGGTGGTCCTTCCCATGCCCCGCCCCTCTGGGCCCTGGTTCCCAGATCCCCACACTGCCCTGCTCCGTGATGGCAAGGGCTTCAGGGTTAATTGTCCCTACATTAAATGACCCCTAACCGCCAAGCCTCCAGACTGTTACTTGTTTCTGCGGTAAATGATCTACTTCTACTACCTCACTCCCACTCTTTTTTTTTTTAAAGATTAATTTATTTACTTACTTACTTGACAGAGGAGAGAGAGATCACAAGTAGCCAGAGCAGCAGGCAGAAAGAGAAATGATCTACCACCCCATTCCCACTCTTTTTTTTATTAAGATTTATTTATTTATTTGACACAGAGAGAGAGAGAGATCACAAGTAGGCAGGGCAGCAGCCGGGGTTGGGGGGCAGGCTCCCTGCTGAGCAGAAAGCCCAATGCGGGGCTCGATCCCAGGACCCTGAGATCATGACCTGAGCCTAAGGCAGAGGTTTCACCCACTGAGCCACCCAGGTGCCCCTATTCCCACTCTTAATTGTTAGCCTGAACATGCTAAAATCCTTCAAATTTTGTAAATTCCTCTGGTGATAACTTAGGAAAGAACTAAAGGCTTTCTAAGGAACCCAGTTAATAAAGCTTACGAAGTCAACCACCTTATTTTGCCGTAAAAGTACTTTTTGCCTGGACTATTTCCTTTCTACTCTGGGGTTTTTCTGCATCTTTCATTGTTCACTGCTTCTACTGAGGTGAGACAGTCCCTTCCCTAAAGGACCTTGTAGCCTAGTCCTATTTCCAGCCACACAGCTTTTCTAGTTAGAATCTGGATAACAGAGAAACTGAGGCAGGGATAAAGAGAAGCCACATTCATTCCTAGAATTCAGTTTAATGCTCCTTCCCTCTTAACACATTTCTCTTAGGACCATTTCCAGGTTGGAGAGCTATTTTGTAAGAAGTTAAATAACATCACACCTTAGGTCTGAGTACAGAAGAGATACTTGTCTCTCCCTACATCCCTTCCTAGCAAAGATCTGGGAAAGGAAGAAGAGAAACAGTCAAATTATTACAAAGAACAGCAAGACATTTTCCTTCTTTTTGGTTTTAAGTGAACACTAGAAATGGAAGACTTCACAGCTTGGGAAAAATCTATTTTTCCTTTTGAGGGCTTTGTCTGCCTTGGAAAAACCTTGGAGGACAGAGAGGGAAGAAAACCCAGAAGCATGGAGACTGAGAGCCTCAGGAAATCACAGAGGAAGCTGAGTGCTTAGTGCAAGAAGACTCGAAGGAGACAGGAAATGGAAGCTGCCGCCTGTATAGCACATTCCGAACATGAGGACACCCTGTTCGGGAGTGGAGAATAATGTGTGTGATGCTGGAAGGGCCCCCTGTGTTATTTTTGGGAACCTGAGCATAGGCGTATGCACCTGCTGCAGCTACAGCTTCCTAATCAGAGGCAGTTCCAGTTTTTGTGTGTCCCCAAATAATTCAGCATCAGTAACTCCAGACATAAAGACTGAAAGAAAGGGAAACAAAATAAAATATTGACCTCTCCCCACCCTCATTTTCACTCAGGTGTATTTGGCTCCCTTTCTTTAATTTGTGTTATTTTATTCATACAGTATGTCTGTCTACTCTCACAAGATAGAAACTGAAAAGGGTCAACACACAAGCAGCTCTCACAAAGGACAGGGAAAGTCAGAGCTTCCCCTTCTCGCCAATACATGGTAGGTAGAAAGGGTAGAAGACTTAACAAGATTTTTAAGAGCAGTATGTAGTCGTTCCTGCACTGCAAATCATGTACTGTGTGTGGAGGGAGGGGATCTTTCAACGATGCAGGAGCAAAAGGCTAAGTATCACTTAAGCTGAAATTTCCACCAAGTCAAAACTTCCTTCTCAATTGGAGTGGCAATGGTTATCAGAATCACGTAAGGAGACTTTTACGAAACAAGCATACCCCCTCCATGCTGGGGTGAGAGAAGAACCAATAATACGCTTACTCTGAAATTTCTCCTCAGGTAATTCCAATAAGCTTCTACCTGCTGTGAAAAGTACTGAGTTAAAGAATAAAAAAGAAAAAAGAAAGAAAGAAAT